AGAATAATATATGCAGTGTATTATTTGTTGAAACTGTACTTCCGATTTGATTTGAAACTGTCTCATTGCTATATGTTTATCAATAAAACTGTAGAAAAATAAATAAATAAATAAATAAATCAATATTGGAAACACACCTGCTATAGTGGAACTGAGTCAAATGGTTTATTAGATGCATACACTTGGGCATTGACAGACCCTTTTCAAATATGAAAATATATAGAAAAGATTTCAGTTCCAATTCGTGGATACCGTATTATGCGCATATATAAATTTTTTTCTTTTTCTTTTTATCCTTTACAGGTGATATTATATCCAACTTCTAATAGCTCTAAGTCAGCTGAATTACACCGAATGATAGTTCCAAAAAACAGTCAGGACTCTGACTTAAAAATCAAACTGGCAGTGCGTATGGATAAACCGCCACATATGAAGCATAGTGGGTGAGTGTGCTTAAAAATGTTTCTCACTGAACTACTGGATTTCATTCCAGTGTATCTCTTGTGTCAGCTTAGTGGGAGAAGCAGTGTATGAGACTTTCACTTAAAAATTTTGCTATGTGCTGATGTATGTAATGTATGTAGGTTCATTATTTGTTTCGGTCTGCAGAATTCTTTATAGCTAACACAGTTTTTCGTTAGTGTAACCATGCGGCATGTGGACACCATATTGGCACTTGTTTCCACTAGCACTACACACTGGTTGTACTGACCACAGTGCTGGGTGTGCAAGGAAGCACTCTTCCCAATATGTGGTCATAGTTGCAACAAGCCTGGCAATCAAGACCCAGAAGCAGTTAAACTTTCATAAAATATAAAAAGCTAAAAGACAGTTCCAGTGAAACCCAGTTGCTTGCATTTTTGATGGAAGCATGTGAGTGAAAACCAATGGAGAGGGATGCTTCTGCACTAGGCTGAGCCGTCAGGCAGGGACTGTCTCCCAGGGATGGGCAGAGTCCAAGGCAGCCTTCATCTCAGCCAACATTCTTTCTTTCCTTATATCTGGGAAGGAAACAGGTCTGCGGTTTTGAATAAAATGAGCTTCTAAAACCCCAGATCTTTCGTAGATCAATGCTTTAGAATTTACCACAGTCAAATCCCAGCCAAGAATGGGTGTTAGAATTAGGAAAGAATGGGAACCTTTTTTTTGTAGCTATGGAGAAGAGTTATTCTTGAGATGTTTCACCTGAGTTAAGCAATGAACTTTGCAGTATTGCACTAAATTTAACTATATTGAAGAGTTTGCTGCTTTGGGAGCCAAATCACCTACATTGGAGTACATATCACTGATGGCCCAGAGGATAAGAAGGATTGTTTGGGTCAACATTAAGGAAAACAAAGTTGGGCTGTGACAGGGGCCAGTGACAAATATATGCTGCAGTGGGGTGAGAAAGTAGTGTTACTGTCTTGGGATCAGACTTTGCTGCCCCCTCGGTTTGGGTCAACAAAACACAATGTCGGAGCAAGTCTCCCAAAAGAGAAAAATACCTCAGGTGGTAGGCACTTAGAAAAGGAACTGCACTTTGAATAATTATATCAAGGCACTTTTAATGTGCCAGTACAAAGTAAAGTCTGACTCGGCTGATAATGCACATGAAATATCAAGGATTTAAACTTTGTAATTCTTTCAGCCACCTACCGGTTCACCATTAATTTCTGCAGAGACATGTATTAGGCACTTCTTTGGTTCCAAACGGAAAGTATCATCACAGGCCTGTAGGAACAATTGAAACAGAACTTAAAGCAAGACTGGAACAGGTGGACAGTGAGGAGGAAGGCATCCCAGCTGCATGGCACAATATAGACAAAGGCAAAAAGTCCTGGGCAGGCTTTCAACACAGCTGGTGTGGAGAGCTTTCAGACTAGAGACATCACGGGTTCTCCAAATGCTTAGAGACCATTAGAATTTAGAGTTAGGCATCAGTGAACATGTTGTGTTCCAAGAGTGCATTCAGAGAACTACACTTACTTCTTTACTTGGTTTTACTAAGTTGTGGATTCATTGGGTGAATGTCCTAATAAGATTTGGGACTGTGTCACAATGCCAAGATGCTCTGAATCGATCTGTGGAAACTCTAAAGTTATTCTCACAAGGCATTCAGATTTCCTAGGAATAAAGAGTGGACAGCTAGTGTGGGAGGCTTAGGACCGATAGTGAAGGCTTTAGCTCACATGGGAAGCTAATGTGAAGGTGTTCTAATCTAGCAGTTTTTGAGTTTAGCATGCGTAGGGCAAGTGGGCAGTACAGGTTCTTTACATGGACTAGTGGGGCTGGGGAATCACTCCTTCACACTGAAGGGAAATTTCTTTTCATTGCATTTCTTTGAGTAAATTAGGACCCTTATAATGACTCTGAAGTTGACTCCTACTCAAGACTACAGATGGAGGAGCAAACTCTAAAGAGAGCATATAGTCTCTCATTTTAATCTTTCCAATTCAAAATTTGTGCAGTGCATTCAGAACAGAAATGTTGTATATGGCAGCCACATGCCAGGTGTTATCTCCCATTGCTAAAAGATATTAACAGGCATTTTTTAGGCAGTCAGATCTCTACAGATCTCTAGAGTGAAAAATTCTAGAAGTAAAAATAAGTGTGAAACTTTTTTGCTAATTTGTATATTCTCTAGCAAAATTAAATTAAGAATATCATATTCCATAATAGCAGCTGAATAAAACCTGTCTTGATGTTTACTTTAGAAGTAGTGATTTACCTGAACAACGTCCTCACAGCTGGTGTATCTGGGCTGGGGCCACTGGAGGTGCTTCGCTGTAGCGCTTGTTCTGGCTTCTTGATGCCTCTGTGGGAACCGTGTTAATTATTTTGAATATCGCTCCTGTATGTTGTTGCCTGTGGGAAATCTAACTTCCCCGCAGCATAAGGGCAGCCATCTTTTTCTAAGGTGTTTCATACATAGATTTTCCTCCACTTTTTACATTAGGGAAAGTCAACTAACCTTTTCCTCTCAATATTCTGACATATACCAAAGCAATGATATAACAGAAATAATAAATTTATAGCATTTTCCTTTGAGGCTGAATTGTGTTCTGTCAATAATTCATCCTCTAATGAATAATTAACAGATAAATAATTAATAATTTAAAATGAAACAAGTCCAACTTAAAGGAAAGGTGAATTCATATTTAAAATATGGGCTAACATCTCTTACAGATAAAATTGTTGGATGAATTAAACAATAAATTGAAGCGTTGCTGATTTTTAACTTCAGGGCATATCAAAACTGAAAATACTCTGGGACGTTAGTAATATAAATCTGTTGTTTTTCTCAATAATGCAGGTAACAAATATTTATCTACACATTTGTTTAAAATGTATTATTTATCATTTACAGCCTCTGCATTTCCCCATTTAAATATTTGATCACTATGATCTATATTTTAATGTTTCTGACCAAGCTGTAAGTTTCTTATGCCTATGGAATCCTTGGTATTTCCCAGTGTGTGACCACAGAAAGAACTAATATGAATAATGACACTATGTCCCTCAGCATTTCAAGGGAAAAGCTCATAGATACAATAGTAAGATGCACTTGTAAACTGAATTTGAAATGGCTCTAAACATAATTTATGAGGAATAGTGTATAATTATAAAGAAATAAAAACTAGATAATTCGTTTCCAACTATTCTTTTAAAAACATGTTTTTTAAAGCACAAAGTAAAATGTATTTCATCCAAAGCTCTTGTTTCTAATAACTGACCAGCTCAGTGATGTGCAGACGCAGTTATTTTTAAGTAGCACTGACTGTATACATGCAGATCAAATCAGACGTTTATGCTGATGAATTCAGCCTAATGGTGGTTCCACTGTTTTAAAATCAAACTGGGCATTACCACGAACATGCTTAGCAAGACCTTGGATTCTTTATTCTTCCGGAAAATTTCACGTAAACAAATTATAGAAATTAACTCTTCAAGAAATTCGTTAAATGAATTCCCAGCTTGCTTGTGAAAGGCTTGGTGATTCACATCCGCCTTTTGGGTCTGCGTCGCGCTTCCGCGCGGCTGGAGGATGCCAGCGTTCGCGAGCAGATGCGCTGTACTTTAGCATGACCTAGTGGCTACGGTGCGGTATTAATTTGAAACTCACAAATTCATTTTATTCCGTGAAATTATTTTCCTAACTCAAAAGGTATTTTCTGAGTGAAAAGTAGAATAAAATGGAACTCATGCAATAAATAACTATTGTGACAATTAAACTATAAATGAAATGGAGAAAAAACATTAAATTGGCTGTTACATTTATGTCGAAGCATTTTAACCACAGTGTAGCAGAAACCTGCATGCGTCTGATGAGTTTTACATCCAAAGGTGAAAAAAAAATGTCATAAATATCTAGCTAAGGAAGAGTTTTGCAACAGAGAACTCGGTAAGGTAAAAATCTTAGCAAAATTATTGCCACGTACATCTTACGTTTCTCTGCGTGTTGGTCACACCCACCTCTTTTACATTCGTTTACTGACACGGTGGATGGATATACTTCGGAGTGATCACAAATGTCTCTTGCTTAATTTATATCATAGAGGTAGGAGAGGCACAGGGACACCACCTGCGGCCGAGGAGAGGGAGCGGTTGGGCTTCGGAGAGGACGCGCCCGAGAAGCGCCAGGCGGCCGCGCTGCACCGAGCAAGCGCCTGACCGCGGCGACGGCGCGGGGCGCAGCTCTCGCTTACTCGTGAAGGAAAATCGCTGCGTTCTGCTATAGTTGCTTTGTTTTGTGACTGGTTTAAGATTTATGATCTTCAGGTAATTTAACGATAGTCTGATGACCAAAGAGGAAAAAAAAATCTTAATTCTATCTAAGTAGAACTTGCTTAAACAGTCCAGCCTTACGAAAAAGGACAGCTCTGTTCTTTTCCAGAGAGAATGGGGTTCCGTATTTAAGACCTGTCTTTTAGAAAGAGTTTGCTGCATGCCCTGATGTAGAGGAACCATATTTTCATTTCTGATTTTCACCTGAAATTATTATAGGTTGGTTTACCTTCCCAGGTTACTATGCTTCAGTCTGGCTTATGCAAATTTCACAGAAATGCTGCTGGTGATCTTGCCAAAACTTCTTACCAAGCAAAGGTTCGTAGGCAGTAATAGATTCTTTTCCCAAATACAACTTCCAGAGAGAAGTCTGCCTGGGGTCTCTATCTGTCATTAACATAGTTACCACTTTTGGAGTAAGGTGATTAACTCAAAAAGCCACTTTGTCTTCCAAATGCCTGAATATTCATGTTTTCTGCATGCTCAATCATTAAGAACTATATTTGTTAGTGATTCATAAATTATGGTAAATAATGGCAGAAACATTCTCAAGCATAATTTCAGTAATCATTAACTTATCATACTTTTTTTAACTTATCATACTTCTCTGGTTTCTCCTGCCTTATATTTGGCTTTAACTTTAAGCTCAGATTTCATCTTTTTATTTGGCATCCTT